GCTCCGGCATTCGGGCAAGGGGCGCCGGCCGGGCGGGGAGCTGCGCCCGCTCCCCAACGCCACCGCTGCCCCGCACCAAAACACGCCATCCGGGAGCAGAGGAGCCGCCTTCGACGGAGCCAAGCTCAGCTCAAAGTACTACAGCCCCCTGCACCTCTGCTCCTCAGGGGACAAGCAAGCCGGGTCAGCAGCGCGGGGTTACTGCGGGAACCAGCTCAGTTTCCATCAGCACACGACTGTCCCCGAGGCACTCGCTGCCGAGCAGGGCAAGACAGGCAGCGAGGAATCGAAAAAGAACCACAGCACAGGCCTGCTATAAGTTTTATTTACACAGGAAGTGTTGCTAGTGGTCTTAAAGGAAGGTTTGATCCTCCTATTTACAGTTATATACAGATTTATAGTTGAAAAGTAAGAAAACTGTACAAGATAACACAAAAATATAAGACAAATTGGATCCAATTAAAGTAGTGAATACATAAGTTAAGAAAAATCTGACATTTACATTTCAAATTGTAATGTTATGAGTAGCATATATGTAGTTTTTAAACCAGATAGCAATGTAAGTTACACCACACTAAATCTTTACCCCAATTATGTAGACTCTGCTTTTAAACACCAGACAACTGGAAGCCTCCTGCACTTAAAAAATACATAATGGTAATTTGACTTGATTTCCACAGAGGGACCAGTTACAAAAACCCACATGTAAGGAATTTATTTACATTAAATATTAGCAAAAATGGACCAAGAGAGTGCAAGTGTTCCTCACCTGCAGTGCTATCCATTTTAAATTTCCATCCCCTACAACCACAAACTGTTGTACAGCATCTTTGAGAATAGGAAATGTTTGAAAATATCTGCCATGACACATACAATATGACCTTGTGTCTCACAGTTAAAAGATGTTAAAGAATTATGTATCACTAAACCAGATGCTATTTGGATTTCAGTATTGCACACTAATAAAAGATAGTTTCAAAACCAATTCTGTGTCTGCATTATTCCAAAGTGTTAAAAGTGGCTGCTCCTTTGACAACACAAAGTCCACAGATAGCTTTGTCAGTTTCTAGTGTTCACCACTACATACAAGTATTTCTTAGTTGGAAATGGCTCGACAAAATATAACTTCTGGTGGCAAAACTCTTTCACAGAATACCCAGTCCATTTTCAATAAGCCGCACAACCAATACACCAAAACGAATGCTTAACACCACTCGCTTTGAAAGCTGTACGCTCTGAAAAAAGCCTTGATCTTACCACTGTTTAAAATTCAGATGTTTTTTGCTCTAACAGGTTTGGACACGATACTTCCACAGTTCCTGAGTTAATTACATTTGCCCAGACTGAAGAATGAAGCTGCAACTTAAAAAAAAAAAAAAAAAAAAAAAAACATAAACATATCAAACAACCTTATTTGGTCCTCAATACTTTCAAATGGTTAATTTTGGAGGTAATATTTGTACCAAAGCATTTGGTTTGGATAGCAGTTTTGGGGCCTTAAGATTTAGCATTTCCCTCATCCCCCCAAAAAAGTGCTTTTGTGGTATTTGTAAAAAAAGTTATGCCTCAAAATTTTTTTTAAAGTACCAACAGAAGTTATTACAAATGTTTATTGCATTGAGCTGATTCTTTTAAAGTATTAAGTATGAACTCTCCCACTTCTCAGTTTCATAGGTTTTAGTACTCTGTGTGAAAATAAATCTTCCCACGACAAAAGCTAATACTGGCAAAAGGGTGAAGATTTCATCAGTTCAGTACTCCACTGAGAGCTGTGTCATTTTCCCATCTCCTGTTCACATTTTCTATAGTGCTTTTCCACATAGAAGTGATGTGAAAACTCCTTTGTCATCAAGTGGTTTTCCACATCTCCAATTGACCTCAACATTACAACGATTAGCTTTTCAGTGCTGGGCTATGGTTCTTGTCCCCTTCTTTGTTGTCCTTCATCAGTGAGGCAAACACCTGGAAAAGTAAATTATTTAATGAATATAAAAAAAAAAAGTCTTATAGAAAAGACCAATGTTAACCACCAGAATATTAGCACAGAGATTAACATCTAGAATGAGACACTAGAAAGGAAGTGCCCACTGCTCAGAAGTCAGATATGCAGCAGCATGAAGTAGTCATTAAGAGAAGTGCCCCATGTGCTGACATGTCTGTCTTGATATATATTATCCAAGCCACTCACCTGTGCCCATTTTTTGTTACTATTCTGCATCTGAATAGCTGCAATACAACTAAAAAGCTTTTCTGATGTAATGTCTTCTGGAAGTTTTGTTAGAAATTGTGCTATATGAATAAAGTCCATCTGTAGGAGAATATCTTCATATAACCGAAGGATACCTAACCCTGTCCTAAATAAAAATTCTTCTCCATCTCTACAGAAAACGTCCCAGACACGACAGGCCAGATCAAGTGGTAATGACTTGCTGTAGAGTGTAAAAATCCTACAATTAAGAAAAAAGGCACAGTTAAAACTTTAACCTATTTCAGAAAGGTGAAAATACTACCTCCTTTAAATCTCAGTTACATTAGCTGAGAGTGAGAAGATGACAAAGTTATTTCATATGTTCTTATTTTTTCCATATTTCAAAGATCTACCAGTCTCCAGTTTTGAAGTCAGAATTCCTACTCTGAAGCCCACCTCTTCATGCTACAGGAAATCCTCCATTCGAAAGCCACCTCTGGCTAGAGAAGTTATAAGCATCTTTTATACTCAACCAGGGTATAATATACAAATAAGAACTTTAATAATGGGAAGGGTTAAGTTACACAGTTATGATCTTTGTTGCTTAAGCCATACAGTTTAACTCTGTTCATCATTTATTTTCTAAACTAAATCTAAAGCCAGAAATCATCTCAATAGAAGGCTACATCCCACTAAGGTACTAATGAGCATTCAGTAACTACATTTCTGTGATACATTTTGAATTTCTACTCATGTTAAAAACTGCTAAAAATCTAAAGACAGTCACCGTTCTATTCTTACTGGAAAGAGTACAATTGCATTTTTTATTGCAAATTTTATTTTTAAAAAGTATTCATTATACACATGCAGAGACTTCAGTCTGCAGTATGTACCATACTGTAGTGGTTCCTTTGATACAAAGCACAGCTTTCTCCATTTTCCCATTATTCCTACTAGGAAGTGGTTCAGGAGCCTCAGGACACTCCTTACCATGGACTACCATAACATCCCCTAATCTCCCTTTGTAAGAGGAGCTATATCTCAAGGCCTTTGGAACATGTGTAGGAAGAATAATCTTCATTTTGCACAGGTAACTGGAAGCAGAATATTCTAGTACTTTGTACAGCGGCACTATTTCTGCAATTTACATACCTCTCTGGGTCTGCCTAAACTCTCAGAACTGTGACATGCTCCTGACTCAATGCTGCCATTGTATAACCTGCTCCCGCTAAGACTTAATGCTTACTGATTAGCTGCATCTTATAGCTGTAGTTCAGATGACATGTTTTTATATTATTTAATTCTTCACAATTCAATTTACTCTATTAGCAGCTTCTAACCCATGTAATAATCCTATATGAAGCACATCCTTATCCACACACACACACACACACACACTTATAGACATTCTGTATTTGGCAGCACTACACACGCCTCAAGGATGCTTGCATTACAGACACATAATGTAGTTTGGTACTCTGATTTAGAACATTTATTACTTCAAAATATTCACTGTATTTCTAAGTTTCTCTCTCCCCAAACCAGGTACTAAATTTCATCCTCCTGCTCTAAAGTCTATATGCCTACATTCATACTTTCTTTAGTAGCCGATTATGCTCATTTTATTAAGTCATGACAACTGTGGTGTAGTAGTTTCCTCTCCCCTACTTATATTACACATAGCTGACTCTTACCTGCAGCAACAAGAAAATGGGACACACAGGACTCCTGCGTGTCTTGTTTTCCATCTGAATAGATGTCACTCCTAATCCCAGTTCATAAAGTTTGAATCCTGCCAGAGGAACTGTGGTTGCACAAACCAGTCTACCATGATTTCACAAGACCTAGAAAGCTGAGGTACACAAACACCTACTGAATGCTTTTCAGTGCTGTATTCTTATTGCTGAAGAACCTATAGCAAATGGAAAGTGTTCCAATAGATCTAAGGTTAGGTTTGCTATATTCTCTGAACTCACCAGTCTATCAAATATATGTCTGGAGTAAGACTGTATGATTTGAAATGAAGAAACAATTTGGGAAGATTTTCTTCAAAGAATACTTCAAAGGCTGCAAAGTATTTCAGCATCTGTAGGGACAGTAAAGCACCTCATAAGCAATCATCAGAAGAATGTTTAGTTTTAAAGTAACACCAACCCCACCAAGAATTGAGAATGTCAGCGTAGCATAATATGAATTCTTAAGATAAGTACAACAATTAAGTGTTTCTAGAGGAAAACAATCAAACCAGTAGAATATGTTCTATGGATTAGTATCTAGTATTCTCAATACTAGATCTAGTATCTAGTATTCTCAATTTCTTAACCACAGGTTATTCAATAAAACAAAAGGAAATCATCAATAAATCAAGTCAAAAGAATATTATGGTTCAAAACCAGAAAATTCTGTGCATACCATGCTGTGATCCACACGGAAAAAGGCCAGCTGGCATGGCTTGTTTAGAAGGTTGGCAAAGGCAATGAAAGCATCTGCCTCTTCCAGATTGAGAATGAGCACAGCAGCAATGAAGGACATCCCTTGCACCTTCAAGTGGGAAAAGCATCAGGCAAATATAGGTCAGTAGGTTCAGTACATCTTATGTCTTTGGAAATGCAAATATTTACAGGCTGCAATATATCAAATACCATTGCATAACATTTCCAGATGAACAGAAACAACACAGATAAATTAGTTTCATGCATGCAGTCAACCTGATTTCAGCAAGAATAGTGTTTCTTCAGATGCTGGTTTTAGGTGCTTGATGGAAGTTCTAGGAGGTCTCATGATCACAAGTCCTCAGGACTTGGAATGCAAGAAAGTGAAAACCACACAGGCTGGATGCAGAGCTCATAAGAGACAAAACTTAGCCTTAAATTCAATGTTAAGCTATGAGAAAAGCAGACGTGGAGAAAAACCTTACATATGGGACACTTTAGCCCCAGACAGATATGTTGGAATCGAGACAAAATTCTGTTTCAGAATAGTCAATACATATCCTTCCATTTGCCAAACAGTATTTGTTCACATAAGTAAAATTACTTCTAAGTAGTTAGCTACAATGCAAGTTTACATTTTTCCATGATTAATCTCTCAAAAACACTTCAGCCTGCAATAAAAAAGTGAAGAGCATTCTTCTTGTAGTTGCTAACTGATGATCTGAATACTCATTACGCTAAAAAAAATTTAACCGATTTCAACTGCAATGATGATTATTCTGCTGTTTCTAGGCCTTTATGCTACCTGCTCCTCATTTAAAAAAATGCACTCAGTATTGTAACCAGCTAGGGAAAAGGGTATTCATATGCATCAGAAAGTCCAGCAGCTTTCCATTTTTGTGGGATAGATGGGTGTGGAAATAAGATTACATTACATTTACTGCCACATTAATATTTTTTAAAACTACCTATGATCAGAAATATCCAGGCTAGATGTTTTCCTAATGAAAAAGAGAAGATCTATCCATGAAAAATTACTTATTTGTGTTTTGAAACTCCACCCTGGGAACAAGAAGTCTCAGAACCTGCAGAGTTTGTAATCTCACTTAAAGAGTATGGGAGGGTCTCCAAAAATGAGGTCACAGATGGCAAAATTCAAGGCTACAAACATTTGAACCTGAAAAACCAACTAGATACTGATGCAGAGTCCCAACCACGTCTGATTTAGAGAGGAAAAGACATCCTGTGCTAAATAATGCTTTGTTGCATGGATCAGACTTAAAACTCTTCAAATTCTTTTTAGCCCAGGAGCAATTAGAGCTTGTGAAAGGTGTTCCTAGTTACCCCCAGGAAAAAAGGAAGAAAAAAAAGGAAAAAAGGATCTGTGTTATTTATCTGCTTCTGTAAACTGACACCATTCAGAGAGATGTGAGGTTCAGTTAGTTTGCAAGTTTTCTGGCAGTTTTTTATACGGTTTGGGTTTCTGTGGGTTTGGTTTGTTCTTGGCTTTTTTTTTTTTTTTCATTTTTGTTTTGGTTTTGATTTTTTAATTACAGTAACATTTACTACAAACAATCTATCTTCACTGAACTCAGATGGAGCAATTAATCTTTGACAACAAGACACCAGTAAGGCATTTCTGGATTTTAGGGTGTGAGGTAGTGAAGCTGAGAGTATCACGACAGAAATAGCAGTGGGAGCAACACTAGAACAGATCAGGTTAAGTGCTCACTGGAATTCCACTAGTGGGTTGTGGGTTTTTTTCTGTAGATACTCTGGGTCTGTCAGAACTGCAATGCCTTGTGAACACATCTGTTTAAAATTTTCCATGCAAGACAGATAGTATACTCATCCTTGGCATTCAGTAAATTTTCAGCTATTTAATTATCCCTAAGAATTACCATCATTTTAACTGCTATAAAATGAGTAAGTGCCAAAGCTGAATTACTTTTAAGTGCTAGTAGCATAAAGTTTAGATAATCTACTTATTAATACACTCTAGTATATGACATCTTAAGCTGATTCACTATGTTATAAATATTTTACAGCAAATACTTACATATCCAACATCTGGTCTGTAACACGTATACGCTCCTAAAACACTGTGCAGGAGATCATGATAAGGACCACCCTAATTCAAGGGAGGGGAGGAGTGGAAAAGCAAAAAAAAAAAGGCTTTTTTCAAAATCACTTTATAAATATAGGAAGGTAACAAGCCAGTATTTTAAGATGCAAGTGCGCCAGTGAATTATTGCTTTGCTTACATCTAGCAATAATAACAGTTTTTACCCTCAGCATTACCATGTATGCTTTTGAGATGTTAAAGGAAAAGTAGCAGTCAAATCATCTTATGAAGTAACTCAGTGGAAATCAGTACATAATGAAAAATGATGATACCTGGTACACATCCAGGGTTGATTTTTCCTTTTCAACGACAGTGAATGTTTTAATCCTTAGTAACACAAGTTACTGTATTACAATAGTGCATGCTATTTTATACACATGTATGTGCAGATATCATATCTGTATAAAAATCATAAAGCCTGAAAAATGTGTACTAAAATGCATCAAGATTTCTGTAAAAGTAGAGAGAATATTCTCATTTTTGCACATAATTTCATAAACATTAATAGGAACCACACGCAATTTTTCCAGAAGAAAAAGCCATACAGTCCATTATTAAGTGTCCCTACTTTTTTTTAAATGAGAATAAAGAGATGACTATTTGCTGTTGTATGTAGAAAAACTAATTTTACTTTTGTTGTTTTTTTAGAAACAACTTGTAAAAACTATTCCATCATATTTAGCCAGCTAGGTTTATTTTCTTGTTTCACTACTCAGAAGTTCAAAGTTGGCATAATTGAAGTTACAAAAATCTCACCTTCTGGAAAATATAAAGGGATGGAAATGTGCGTGATATATCCAACTTAATTAGCTCCAGACTGGCCTCACGATCAGCAACAGATGCACCTGCATCTGCAAGGAAAACCAACACTTAGTAAAACTGATAGATGAATTCTACAAACTTCAGAATAAAATTACCATAGGCACATAAAGACTTCAAGGATCTAAAGAAAAATGTTACTTAGTTTTAATTCTTGGAGTACGCTTCTACAATGCTATACTTCAAGAGCTAAAACTGTCCACCGATACCTGGCATATGACATCAGCTCCATAAAGTGAGGGAAACAATCAATAATTACTACCTGTCTACTCATTCTTTTTCAAGTCATACACCTTTACACCATTCAGACTTCAGACCAGCAGGTTTTCTTCTGTATAGCACTCTATCCAGGCCCAGACTGGTCCTGCATTCACTAGAATTTGAACTTTGCCCAGTCCAGTCATCAAAACCCTGTATTCTTTCTTATATTCTACTGTGACTTCAATTACTGTGTCTGTTCAAAAGCACAGAGAGCACTGCTCTTGATCTAAATGTGATCCAGTGGGATCTCACTTTTCAAATTTTTTATTCCTCATCAGCTCATTTGGTGGCTCATTTCAACCAGCAGCATTGAAATATACTATATACACTAGAGAAAAAAAGATTAATAACATCATCATCATAAGAAGCCAGCACTTCTTCATCTGCAAAGTCAGACATATTACTTTCAAAGACATGCATTTCTCATGTCCCACTTTTACTGAAGATAACTAAAATATACAGAGAAACCTCACTGATGTTTCCAGAATTGACCACACAGTTACATTACTTCTGAGCTCTTGTTAGCTCTCATTTGACTCAGATGGTTTTTTGCATCCTTAGGACTGGCATTCTTCAAATGCAGGAAAGAAGGCAACATTCACTCACAAATCTTCAGAAGAAATACTTTTGGCCCTTGAGTTATCTCTGTCCTATCCTCTGCATTGGGACATGATGCAAATACTATTGATAGCGAGGAGAAAAATACACATGACAGTTGGGAAAAGGCTCTTTCAGACAGCTTAGACCAACCAAAAGCCATCTGGGAAGTGGAATATCACAGAATTTGATGAATGATGTGTTCAGGAGTGAGGACTGCTGCAGGCTGTGTCAGGGGAATTTGGGAGAGAGAGGGCAAATTATTATTACAGAGAAAAATATACACATTCTAAAATAAAACATTCAAGAACTACTGCTTAAACCCTCCTTTGTCTTTCAAAAGAAACACAGATTATATTGATAATTTGGGATCATTTGGGATGGTAACCATTTAGAGTGATTCCCAATGAAGATGAGAAGCCACGATACAGAGCACAAGAAACTCTGGATTAATATAAGAAATTCAGTTCTGTGAAATCCAAAAGATGAGTTGCTGGGGGTCTTTTGAACAGATCTGACCAATAACATATCTTTTGATGAATGTCTTGTCTTTGAGACACTGAAAGATACTTTTTCATGCTTATCTGCCAAAATAAAGTGTTAGATACCTGAACAGGAAAAATCCTCAGAACTAATCAAATATGTTAAATAAGGCTAAGATAATTGATCTTCCAGATTTTGCTACCAAAGATTAGTAATAAGCACAGTGGGCTGGCTTGCTTTTCAACCAGAAATGAAAGTCCTATTACTCTTGGTTTTCCCTTATCACTACATTTCCCAGAACATCTGACACAATCAAACTGGACCCTTCCCCCCTTTCATTCCCATCCAGAACTACTACCTTTCCAAAAGAAACAAATTGCCTAAACTTTCTCCCATGCTCAGGCCACACTCCCAAAACAAAGGAACAAACCAACCACCACCCACAAATGAAGTGGCATTGCAAATGTGTTTTCCAAGGATAAGGATATTTACAGCCATGTACACAGAGATTTTTTTATAAACAGTTTGTCTCAAGAAAAGCTTCAGATGAGTCATAGAGGTAGCCTAAGGAAGACCTGAATAATTTACAGTCAAAGTAGCTAGTCAGGACTGGCTATGGCAAGTGCAAACACAAAAATGTACATCTTGCATTACAATGACATTTTCTTTCCCAAAAAAGAGACCAACTCAAAAAAAGTTATTTCATAGCAGCTGGTACTGACAGTATCACATAAGACAGCATTTTAAAAAGTAACTGTTAACAGCAGAAGGAGTTGATAACAAGGATATATTCACCATTAAAAACATAATTGATGCTATTTTTAACAGAAAGAATACCCACAGGAGACAGCAATATGCCGGTGATAAAACTCCATTATACATATAAGCGTGCTAACATCCCCACTTAATAGATTTGGGAGAGGCCATCTGGGCAGCCAAAGAAACCCAAGTGGGATCTGAAATGTGTAATGTTACACATTCTCTACCTCTCAGTTCCACAGTCAAAAAAAATCTAATTTTTTTTTTCTTTCTCAAAAGTGGAAATGATACTAACATAACCATCTGAGCAGAGCTAAGCAGTAGTATCTACTGTAATTTAGTTTCCTATTTCTTCATTTTGTAGTCCATCTAAAGTTTTCATGAGAGCTTAGTTCTGGTATTTCAGGAATTCAGAAGAAAACACATTCATTTGGAAGTGAACTAGCACATGCAATATTTTGATGCATCTTTTATTGATACAATAAATAATGTTAAGTCCCTCACTTGCTGACTTTTTACAAGAAAACAAACATTTAAGTAGAAAATGACCCAGAGCTCTTTTAACAAGTATTCCTAATGCCACAATTCAGCTGAACTCATGAGATTCCCTGCCTTTGTAAAAGTGACTTTCAGATCTCACCTTCTATGTCGTTCTCAGAACTTGTCTCACTGAAGCTTTTCCATCGTTCCTTAGCTCTTGACAAGAAGATTTCATAAAGTTCTGCAAGAAAACAAAGCAAAAAAAGGAAGAGATAAGAAAAGCACCCATCAAAACCAAAGGCACACTAAGTATTCTTGGCTTTGATTTTGCTGCTTGGTTTCATCTTAACCATGGGGGGTGGGGGGATAATCTATTAGATGGTTACCACTAACCACTGCAGTACCACTGTACGCAGTTTTGTAACATGCACTGTATTATGCTTTCTTCTGTGGTGAACATGTAAATTACAAGAGGGAAATCATGTCTTAAATAATTCAGATTTTTATTTTTGTGAATGGTTTAGAACAATTCCAGTTCAAAATAATAAATTATGAAATAAAGCAATTCCCCTTTCCACCCCCTTGAGAAAGCAAAGATACAAATTCTCAATTTTAAACATAAAATTATTTTTTGGGGGGAGCATCATCTAAACTCTTACTAGACTAAAATGTTTTTGTAAGTACCTTTTGAACCTTGTTTCCATAACTTACCAGGTTATGATGTCTAATTGTAAAAAACACCTGTTCCTAAGGTTGCAAAATACAGTTTTTTCAAAAAGCAAACCCACCTTTTTTATATATACATGTATATTGATATGTTTTTAACAGAAGTTTAAATTTTTCCTTGTAAATAACCAACTTAATTTTGCATTAAAATGTGATCTGTCAAGGCATACCAGGAGTGATATTTAATTCGTTTCCCATGGCTAGACTCCAAACCTTCCCACGTACGCTTGGGGGTAGCCCCTGCCACCACAGCTCTCGAACTCTTCGGGTAGCACGCCTAGGATAGAGAAGGCAGGGGGGTGGGGGAGAGAAAAGGTACATATTGCATATCTTGTTTTCTAAAATCGTCGGTCAGCTTGCAAGCAAAATACCATACTATTTCCCAAATCAATACTCAAGGATCTCTGATTATGCTAAAGCCACATTAAAAAAAAACAAAACCAAAACAAAACACCCTCTCAAAACATTAAGCTCCCAGAAAGCACATTTCATGTGCTCTAATGACCTCTCACTGCAACATGGCAACAAAAACTGACTTCTTGACAAAGAAAAAGGAAAATAAGGTATGTGGGTCCTCTGTTTCCAGAGGAGAAACAAGCCTGCCTTGCCTCATTTACACAACAGAACTTTACTTACATGCCTTCCCAGTTAGGTAGTATTTCATTGACCCAAATCACCATAGCACTAGCAATATTCTCTTCTTGCTTGAAACGCTCTCTCATTATTTTTTTCCTTTTATGTGCTTCTTTAATTTCTGTTAAGCATAACATGTTATAGTTCTGTATTAGTGTATATAAATTATTATGTAAATAACTCAGCTATTACCTAATGATGTCTGAAAGATCAAGAGTAAATTACAGTTGCACATGAGCTAGCTGGTGTTATTTCTGTTGACTGTAGGCATTTTTCTCAGGAAACTTTTAAATTTAAGCTAAGTTAGTCAAATACAAAGTAATTTAGACAATTAAAAATGTTGCTAAAAAAATCATAGTACTCTTTTCTGCAGTACACAGATTGACTAAAAAGCAAGCACATCAGTGCTGGTTTTCCTTTAATGAATTTCACACCATGTTCTACTAAAACCTTACTTAGGCTAATCAACAATCATTATAGATGAAAATATTATTCAGAAGTGCAATTCTACATCCACTTAAAAAAATTCTTCAAGTTTTACTTAAAATTCCACCTAGAAGGATCGTGTATTTTCTTTTCTGGAAAGAGGACTTAAAGATATGAGACATAGCCACAATGCTGAACAAGAGAGGAATATTCTGTCTTCTGTTAAAAAAGGATCATTATTAAACCCTCTTATTAAAAAGGTGGTGGAATAGGAAAACACTTTGATAATTGAGTTCTGTTTTAAACTGTGTGCACATATGTACCAGACTAAGCTAGATATTAAACACAGTCATTCTTTACTGTACCTACTAGTCTACAAGTCAGAAACTATTTTTGCTACACAGTTAAAAAGAATTATAGTGATTACTGGCAGTTAAAATACCTCTTTTTTTTGCCTCTGCCACCATCTCATCATATTCTTGTCGGTGACGTAAAGCCTCCTCCACTGATTTGGCAGGAAGATTTCTGAAAACAAGTTGTTCCTGAATTCAATACACACAAATGACATTCGGAACCATTTCAAAACGGGTTTTTATATGGCTTTTCTCTAACATGAGCTTTGGGGTTGTCACAGTACCAGTGTTTCAGCAACAGCAGTAGAGAACTACCAGATGTTTACTGCTTCTGTTTATTAGTTCTCTTATAGCTTCCCCCAAAGCAGAGTTATTGGATTTGTTGAACTCTGGAATGATAATCAAATGAAGTTTGCATGAAGTCACAAAAGGAAAATACTGATACTCTGTATAGTTATTTATTCCAATGCATTTCTGCATATGCATATTTCAATCCTTAAATATACCTGCATATCAAATACTCCATTTGTTCATATGAAATTCATGATGACCTATTTTCAATAAAAGGTAAAAGTTCTTATTCATTATAGTTAGCCTTTTAAAACTCCCACAGAAGACAGCTTTGCCAAAGGAAGAAACAATAGATATCCATTTATGTCAGCTAAAGCTAAGGAAGCTTGCTGCAGTATTACAACTTCACCAGCTTAAAAAGTGTTTTGGTTTTGGCTGCATAGTGATCCCCTGAATTGCCAAGCACACATTTCCCTTTGACCAAGCACACCCATTCCAAAACAAATCAGAACACAATGTTTGGTCTCAGTCTCTTACTCAATCTTCTAGTCTGCTGTGGTTCAAAATAGACAGAAGACAGTTTTGACATTTTAATATAGAAAAGTTTTCCATCTCCTCTTATACAAGCAGAAAAGATCACTTTATTAATATTGCAAATGAAAGTGAAAGCAGAATATATTTTCAAGGATGAGACTCTGGCACCACATTACACACTTGGGATGGCACTCCAATGTGAAACAGGTGGAAATGTCATTTGTAAAAAACATACTTACTTTGTGAATTGTGATATTTTGAAAGTACAGAAGAGCATCAGCAAACCAGTTACTGCATATCTTACTCCCCACCATACATTAAAAGAAATAATGCATTTACAAAAAAATAATCATAGCAATCCATACCTCCATTGAGATTATTTCTGGTTTAGCGCTGAATGAGCTTATATACCACTAGAGAGAATATCAAAGGAAACACCGTATGTTTTATTTTCCATTTTCTAATCGGAACCAATTAGAGCAAACATTTAACAGTGCCATCACAAGTTTTCTTGAGGTGCAATTTGAAAGCTTTGCTCCATTTGCTTTCCTGCAGCACGTGTTCCTAGTCAGCTAGTCCTCCTCTTTTCTTCAAATTGTTGAAGACTCTATAGCTGACAATACTGATCAATTTATTACCCATTTCTCATTACTATTCTCATTTGTACTTAATGCAGCTTTTGTTGCATCTTCATCTGCCATTTCCTTCCCTTCAGCTGTAGTTTCACGGAGCCATGAAAACATAAATGAAACAGGGGCAAGGAATAGTTTCAATGAACACTATCACCTTGGTACCAACAGAACAGTTAACTAGTTGCCAGATACAAAATGATCATTCAGTATTTGTGACAGGAAGAAATTTCTTGTGTTTCAAAGGCGATTCTTCCCACACCTGTTATTAGTTTTTCTAAAACACTTCTCTCGTAAGCCAAGTCCAGGTTTGATGAATTGACAGCTGCCACTTACTCCTTCCCAACTGGTCTAGGAAATTAAGTTTCCAGAATGGGGGATGGAGAAGAGAGCATGCACTGAGACAGCAGTGAAGAAATCTATAAAAGTCTTCAGGAATTTTCCTAATTAAGGATGGTTACAACACCAACACAGGCAGCTGTGATATACAGTAGATAACAGACTGGTGACCCCATTACAGGAAGAAATAATTCCTCCCATCGACTATAATATACTTAAAGGTTCTTCTGGAGGTATTTTTTAGGCTGTTATTTGTGATGGAATGATACTTTTGTATAAGACTTGTAAAGTTTAGCTCATCAGAAGCATATATAACAAACCACCATCAGTTCCACAGCAGAATCACACTTACGCTGGTCGATCCTCCAGAATCAAAGCAGTAGTTGAAAGTGGTTCAAATTCAATATTTTTACGTCTTGCTGATGGGGGTGGAGGTTTATACATTCTTCCTGTCCGTGCTTCATACTCCTAAACAACATTATTGATAAAAATTAAGTTTCAACTTTCATCTTTACTTCTAACTAGTAAGCATAACATTACTTCTTTAACACTTACTAATGTTAAAACATATAATATTAAATACTTTAAGACAGCAAGGAGCTAACATTACAAGTTGAAATTGTTTATATGAAGACAGTGCAGCTTCCCAGGACCTCTAAGTAAGGACAAATGAGAAAGCAGCTTCTTGTAGCAACTTAATGTGTGATCTATTCTAGTTCAATATTACTACTGAGCATCCAAGGATCAGTTACTTAGAAAATCTGCATAATGTTCCCAAACTAATTAGTGTGCAAGTATATTTAAGTAATATGGGAAGTTGACCAAAAAACAACACCACCACCACAAACGACTAGCCAAGAACCTGTGCTTCTTCCCATTACTTCCCTTTAGATTCTAACCACCCTTAAGATCCGGTACTCCTCACATTTCTGAAGCCTTTAACAAAAACATCAAACTCACATTATCCAGAACTACCTACACTATACTCAGTGGCAATATAACAGTATTTATCATTACAATATAACAGTATTTATCATTGCAAGTCTGTTCCACGTAATTTCTCTCTCAGAGGTTAAAACAGGCAATCTACTTAGAAATAAATATTTAACAGCCTTTAATACACAGAAGATTCTGAGGAAGAAAGAATCACATTCCTTTTTCCACAAAAGCAACACAACAAAACAGAAATATAAGGAAAAAGGCTAAAAGCCTTTAGGAAAAAGGCTAGACAGAGCCAGATGGGAACCTCAAATCTCACATTCTCTTTTTTTTTCCCTTCTGTAAATAACAATTTACTGCCAAGTTACTGGGAAACCCATTCCTACAATCCAGCATATCTTAAAAGGTTATCTGTGAGACTTTCAACTTATTCCCAAACCAAATTAGCTTGTGGGTTCACGCTCTCCTTGGGCACGAAGGCTAAATACTAATTTCTGCAAGTCTTCCACATACTGGAATTCATCCATAGAATACTAAGAGCTGAAAAATCGTATTTTTAAGAGAACAAAGTCAAGGTACTTTAGTAATGTACTTCACAGATCCACAGCTCTATTAAGCACAGCCAAGTGAGCTCTAACTTGTACAAGCTTTCTAAGCTAAAGACAGTTTGTTCTTGTACATTTTTTGCTTTGATAATTCTGTAAGTAAATTCAGTCTCAAACATAAGATATTTTGATTAAAGCTGATCAATTACTAATTAGGTCACATATCTTCCCAAACATAAGTCTTCTCTAGAAACTACTCCCAAATGAATTTTACACCTAATACACAGCTTCTTGTACACAGTATTTCTCCCACAGGCTTTACACATTCAGTGTTCATTGACAGCACTATAGAAACAGAGCTGACAACTTTAAAGCTATTATATAGCTTAACAGTTCAGTACACAGTTGAACTCCATAAAGTTAAATGGGAAAAGACTTTTTACAAATGCAACGATGCAGCCTCAGATTTCCAGAGAAGGCACAAAGTGTTTGCCCAGCACTAAAATGGCTTAAAGCTTTGTCCTCAACAGCCTCCTTACCCTACCCATTTTAATGATCTGTAACAAGATTTCTGTTCTTCCACATTGGGCATAATATATTAAATGATCCAAAAAGTATAATCTTGATGTCATGTTAATCTCATCTCAGGAGGAAGTTATCACAGAATCACTGAGGTTGGAAGGGACCTCTGGAGATCATCTAGTCCAACTCCCCTGCTCAAAGCAAGGCCAACCACAGCAGGTTGCACAAGGCCTTGTTCAGCCAGACTTTTAATACCACCAAGGATGGAGACTCCACTCTTGTAAGGCAGAGGCTACAACACCTGGTATTCCCAAGAAATTTCCCATCCAACTACTAACCAGGCTCAACCTGTTAACTTCACAGATCAGAGGAGTTCATGTGTGTTCACAGTTCACAGCCATATGCATTATATGCCACTATACTTTCCAGATCCTGAGGAGTTATCTGGACTTGTTGTCCTTTTTCTAGTGTGTGGGAGTCAGAACAATAGTTTAACTGATGAGAAAAGGTGATTGTATCCCCATCAAACAAGCCAAAGAATGGTTTTGAAACATTCTCAGTATCTTTTGAAATGGTTTCTACCCCCACCACTGTATCATACTCTGCCCCACAGCAGTGTACCAAGTAATTCATTTTATTAGTGCCCTGGAAAGACAAGCACAAATCTATAGCAACCAGCCTACTATTTCAACTAGACGAGAAGCTCTGTTGCTTTTTTGTCTTAAAAAAAAGCCTAAATATGCACCTTGTAAAGAAAAAGAGCAAGCAACTGTTTGCTATCATCATTTATACATACATTCTCACTAAAAACCTAATTATTTGTAAACACAATGACAAAGTTACTAGCCAACCATTCTTAAATACAACTTAGTTCTAAATATTTCTGTCTCTGGACAAGAATAGGGTTTATACAAATTTCCTAGAACATATTCCTGTCCTGAAGGGTAATTCCAAAGACAACTTTTGATTGAAAATAATATACATCCAACATCATTTGGCACATTCTAACAAGTATCTTGGAACAACTGGATATATAGGGTTGGTAGAGTTTTGTTGTATTCACACAAGCATGAGAAAAATCAGAAAACCAACATTTACTATGTGGACAAATCTACTTATTCTTAAGCCTAGAATTATTTAATTCCACCTAAAACCAGACACAGTATAGACACTCCTGCCATGCTTTATACCTCAGGATACCCCAAGCACATTCTTAAGATAGGAATGTATCCCATGATAGCACCAGACATCAGCATCCAGGCTGCAGTACAGCAAGAATGTCATCCCTCATATTCTTGGTAGAAGTTCTGATTTACTTTCACATTTTCCAGTACTTTGTAACAGAAGCCACAAAATCAAATTAATGTAGTGGTCACAGATGAGGAAGCACAAACAATACCAACCTTAACATTCCTACGTATCTAATTTGTATTCAAGTTAAATAAAAAACCACCGCAAGATAAACATTAGAAATTAAGCCACTCTCACCTTATTATTACAAGCAACAGATGTGAATGGTGCTAGTGCTCCTGGCTGTTGTACACGCTAAGAACTGATATACTATTTCAAAGCAACAGAGAAGAGGGAAAAAAACCAAACCAAACCAAAACAAAACCCACCAAACTTCAACAGTGATTTCCACAAAAGCAGAACCCATCAACCAACTGTGCTTCTGGAAGTAAATACACTTTATGAACAATTATTTTTTCTCAAGAAAAGAACACAAGAACATATGAACAGAAGGGAAAACAGTAAGAGTTACTAGGAAGAGTCAAAGCAGAGACCAAAATAGCTTCAGGCTCAAACTATCACGGCTGCATATTCCCCAAGATTACATATATTCCAAAGTATCACAACTTCCCCATGGAAGATGCTTCTTCCTCAAGAAGCCTGTGATCTGGGAAACTTATGTGAAGATTAGATCCCAGAACCATCAGACATGCACTGAACTCACTAGTTTGTGCAACTAAAATATCCATTCTTTTCTGGAATATTTTATATGACTAGAAGTAAAGAATCCAATAGCCTTAACCATGCATTTGATGCAGAATCTAAAATTCTTGGCATGGGACAAAAAGCTTGAGCTGACATAGAATTTCACTTCGAAAGATGTGAGCTAATACTCTCCCATTACAAGGTAAAAATACAATTTAAAGTCAAATGTCTTGTCAAATGCTTAACATGCAGGGCACATGGCAGAGGATAGAACGGTTGACAGCTAAGATTCAAGACTATATAAGACCTGTCTATGTGAAAAAAAAATAATTTTAGAATCACATGTATGGTTTCAGTAGCTTAGAGAATGTTGGTTAAAAATTCTTTATTGCAGCATACCTGGTATTCATTGAAAGTTATGGAACATTTCACAATCCCAAACTAAATAAGAACATATCTTGGCTTTAATCGAAGTAAGAGTAGGTATCTCCTATGAAGACTGGTAGTGCATCCTCTCATCTACTGTCAATAATTAACCCGTTAGGAGGCTAAAAGCATGCTTTTCTTGAAAAACACTGTGACAATATAGTTAAGAGCACTTTAATATGTGGAGGGACTTGTATTTCTGGTATTTATTCCTACAGAAATACAGATAAGCCTATTAACCTACAGACAGGTAACAGGTAAATGGGGCTGGGAAGAGAGTCTTTTGCTTATGAACTGCCTTTGGCTTAAGAAGATAAAGATATCCCAAATTGTATCTTAAAAAACCCAAACAAACAAAAAACAAACAACAAACCCACCAAAAATATCGTGGTGTTTTAAACAAAAGAAAACTAAACCTGCAGGGGTCTTTATTGCCTGCATATTTTTGCTATCTCCATGGAAAACACAAAACTGAAGTTTCTTTGATCTTTCCTCAGAAGAACCATATGGGACTGATAGACCACTCAGAGATATTTTAGAGGTCTCTGAACACTACTGGATCGCACTGTGTAGCATATGCATAATTGCCCATAGCTGCTTCTTTTGGCATCTAAGCAAACTACCTTACAGAAAGGAAAACCAGCTGCATCACAGCATTCCAAAAGCATTAGTTGACCTTAAGTAGGGTATGCCTGTGGGGATAGAGTATTTAACTAAGCATGCACGTAATGATTCCATTTTAGAAGACAAATTTGTATCTAAAGTTCCCAAACTATAGAGCTTTAAAGGAATAAATATTGACCATGAAACTTAACATGTATCTTGCTGGGATAAATTTTGGTCTATCTAGGATCCAACAACAAAAGCTGAACTCCTGGTAAGAGTAATAAAAGCCTTGGATTACAAGGATTATGAAAGTCCTCACAGTCCTGAAAGTACCAATTATAGATAAGGCACCACAGATCCAATTGATGTTTTAGGTATGCTGGAGGAGAAAGTGACCCGATAACTGAAGTTACCTGACCAGGCAACACTGAGTTTATTTTCAATATCTTATGGATTGCCTCTAAAGCAGATATCAAGGCATAGTAATACTCCAATTACACAAAGCATGCACTCTGTGTATGATAAGTTTCTTTTAACATGCTTTACTCCCCCCAAATTCTAAGCCTCATACAGAGACAAGTTTTATTCAAGTAATCATTACTTCTGTTGAGGAAACAGTGATTGCCATATAACACCACTAAACACACATGTGACTCCGTGAAACAGATGAGACTCTAAAAACATCTGTATTATTATTTTCACAATGTTGTACAGCTAACTAGAAATATCATCAGAAAGATTATTTCCCTTCATTTCAAGCAGGGTTGAGCATCCAAGAATGGAAGCATTAACAGAATTGCTTAGGAGGGAACCCACCTTAATAAAACAAGTAGAAAATGTAAGAAGAATTTCTGCTAATGCATAAGGCTTCTCTTTATGTCGTGTGTGTGTCCCAGGTTAAATGTTAAAATTGGTGAGCCAGTACTGGTTACAAGGTGATTATAAACAAAGAAGCGCTGACAGCAAGAATAGACATCACTGAAAAATTCTGAGTTGTAAACTAGACATTTTCCTAGAACTAAGAAAAGCAGATGCTATCAGGACAGACAGAACAGTACATTCTTTCCTAATCTGCAGGCAATATAGGAAGAACTTGTATCAAAGGAGGGAAAAATATTAATCTTCATATAGCACAAGAGAACAATCAGACAGAAGAGTTTCTAGGTCAACCCTCCAAAGTAATGCCATCTTTCTTCAACTTTTCATTTACTTTATTTTTTCCTCAACTGGATATTTAACAAGTTGCATCAAGTTTCATCTTTTGTTGTTTACAAAATATCATGAAGCCATGGGCTTTGGGCTCAATAAAGAAGAGTTGAGAGTGGCTGGACCATGTAAACATAAACCATAGGCATCACGTATCAACTAGCAGTTACATTACTGCTCTATTTCACAATGCCACAGTACCAAATCCACAGAGCTAAAAAGCCAACTTGTACTATTCTTGTTTAATAGTGTGGGATTACATAAAATTTTCAAAAGTAACAGACATGCATTGGACCAATTTCAGAAGGATACCAGTCACAGCAAATTGAAGACAACATCTGATGAAAGTTTCAACAGCTACACTTTTCTAGGTTTCCAATTGCATATTGGAAATAGTGATTAAAAGTTCTGAAGTGCCACTGTTAATAGCTTGTGTGATTAGTGACAGGACAAAAAAAAAGGATCCTAGGATGTCAATTTTCAAAGCTAATACAAAGTCTTCAAAAATATTACAAATTAAGCCTTTTAACAACTTTTACCATTAAGCAAGGAGGCACAGCAAATTACTGTCAAACTCTAGCATTACCTATTTCCTGCTATTCAAGATCATGCAATATAAATGACAATAAACAATAATACTCTAATCACTAAGTTGTTAGTGAGATTCACGTGTGAAGTTTCTTTGTTTATTTTACTAATGATATTTAATGAGTTGATGGTTAGTGCCAAATATTCATGCTACTGTGAAAATGTGATGTTTGTTCTATTTTAATGAGTGCTACATAGTCCCATGCATGGCATTGAATACAACTAAGAAAAAAAAAATATTAAATTTCATACCCCCGTGTTTAATAGACTGAGAGCAGATATTGATGCAAGACTGCCAGAACTGTCATCCTAATGAGAAAAACAGAAGCAAAGCCTTAGTGAATAAATGAAGAAAAAAAGACCATTACAATACAGCAACATGCAAGCCAAAATTTAAATTCACATGTAGAGTATTTCTACTCTATGTCTGAAGAAACATAAATGTGTCTGTTCCTCCTTCTCCGGCACTGAAAATACTCAAAAACACATAAAAAGACTTCCCACTTCTGCAAGATGTGTATAGACATCTATTAGACTATTTTTCTGTTTTAATTGAAGTTTTATATTTTCTACAATCAGCACCTTTGCCCAAAGGGAGATCTTTTTCCATGGCACTTCTCAGGTGCATGACAAAAGATATTCCTTGATATGCTGACTCTCCCTAGGTCCATATCACCCATAAAAGTTACACTTATTTAAGTATTAGCCTTGGAAGATACACTGACCTTGGAAGGCTCACACAAAAAACCAGAAACTGCTCTGAAAATGAACCTTGAAGACCTTGCTTTCATTCAGCTCATGTTGGATTGCATCTCACACCCAACTAGAACTTTGCTTATAAGGTAGTTAGCTTTAAAGCTTAAAATGAACACTCAAAAATAGAACTTGCACTGTGGAGAAAGGGAAAAGAAACATAACTGGACTTGTATAAGCATCTATCAAGAAACAAAATACTAGGGTAACCTTCAAACAGAACTTTGTCATTCAGTGTTTGAGTTTTAGTATTTAACATGAGAGGGCAGAAAATGTCATTAAATAGCACAGCAACTTAAGAGTGGGCATTTAAGTCCCCCGCTTTCCCCTCCCCATGTTATAATTAGGATTTCTAAATTGAAAGCTTAAAAGTGGACTACACCTCAGTGTCACCAGTGAGTTGATGAGAACAAAGATACATTTGTGAGTCTTTGAGAAACAGTCACTTAAATTCAAAGCAAGATTCTAAACAGCAATCTGAAATGCCTCATACCACTTTGCAGCAAGGCAACCAGGCAAAAGCGTGCCTGACTACAGAAGACCCTGTACAACCACAGCTCTGCAGGTTTCCATTCAGAAGTCGAAGCTGGTTTTCTAATGGAGAAGCCAAACTTAAAGACAGTGTGGGGCAGGGGGGAAAGACACAGACATTGCTTTTAAGCATTGTATTACAGCACCTGGAAGAAGCCTCAGAAGGATAAGGCTTATATTAAAAAACAAAAATAACACATCTTTTAAATAAATTCATGAAAAACAGCATCTTTACCACCTGAATCTTTTTGCTAACTCCTATCTTTCTGGAATTTAATACAGCCTTCCTAGGTGATGGTTTTGCTAATGCTGCACCTCAAACTCACCATCACAAGGCTGCTTAACCTGCAAAAGCTTAGTTCTCAAAAGAAGAAAAAACAATTATTTTTATCTGTGTCATCCGTTGCTAAAGAAATTCAAAGGCCCAATAGAGAAGGAGGCATCACACCAAAAAGAGGATCCAGAAAACCAAAAAAACCCCAAAATCTAGTGTCCCACCAAACCAAAGTAAAAATAATTTTATAATTTTGGTTACCTCAAGATTGTTTCTATATTCTTTGTTTCCCCAAAGCTCAGCAACTCCCAATAACAGAAATGAAAACATGTACAATGCTTATGCTTTCTTTTTCAAGATTTAGGAAGAGAAAGTTTGCTTCAATACTCTTCACAGTTGACCTCAAAGACAACTTTTTTTTAAAAACAACAAAAACAACCCAGCAATCAGAAGAATTAACATCAGCAGAGTTAACATCTCTGCAGTATTTTCAAAACATCAATCCCATGCTTACTATAAAGTACTCCCCTGAATATACATTTGTGACACCAACATAGCACTGATACCATGAGAAGCTCTTACCAAGTTTTCCTTGTCAAGGCACTGGGTAAACCCTGGTACTAGGAGCTGAACTGTATTTTCTGTCCTTTACACAAACAAAAGGAAGCATTTGTCTCACTGAAGTCCTACCAGTTTGATTACCATTTTACTGACAAGATAATAATTACAAAATTTTAAAAAGCTGTGGAATGCTTTTGTTTTACCTCTAGCATACCATTTTACTGACTACATGTGAGACGGAAAGTTGAGGGACATTTCTTGAGAGTCTGACCACTACAGTGTCTACAAGGAAAACCATCACAGACTTCTCACTGCTGCTAGTAGACAAATTGTTATTCAGGTGTTACGTGTTCCTTGCAAGACTCAATACTCCCATTTATTGTTTGTCCTGGTTTCAAGGCAGTTTGTTACCAATGTAATTCTACCCTATATCTGCTAAACAGACAGAAGTCTTCCTCTTCTCTCCAGTAGTAGTGCAAGACAAGGCAACGTGACCCTTAAGTAACAAACTGCTTAAGTGCTACTCCTATGAAAAAGCATCCAGCACTGTATTTACCTACTTATTTCAGATATTTAGTCCTTAGATTTGAAGACAAACATGCCATATACACTTTTTAAGCATTAAGAGCTTCATGCACTGTTAAACAACAAAGATTGGAGGGAAAGAGTTAATATTGCAAGTTAGAAGGTCAGAGCCACATGAAAACAAATTCAAAATGCATTTGTTCCTGTAAAAAGAAACCTCCAACAACTCTGGTCCCTGGGAGACCATGGGAGTTCTGCTGATTCAGTGAATGCAATTTCTCCGTTAGATTTCAGACTGGAGATAACAACATTGGGAAAATATGCAAGTAAAGTCACTGAGTTTTTTTAGCCCCCAAGTAATAGTTCTTTTTAAAAAAAAAACAAAACAAACAACACCACACACACACACACAAAAAAAAAAACCAACACAAAACCCCCCACATTTCAGAGCCACCCAGAAATATTTTCAGAGGTTCATTGTAGGACAGTGACACAGCCACCAAAATCAGCGTTAGTATTTAATGGACTGTCTAGAATTGATATCTTCCATTTTGTACGCAAGGTGACAGCTTTTGGAAAAGATGGCTTCACTTCTGAAGAAGCAATAATTTCTAAATCACTGCAAGCTTTTCATGGTGTGTCAGATTTAAATAGAAAAAGCTTTCTTTTCTTCTCCCCCTCCCCATTTAAGGCTACCACTGACAGTACTTTGTTAAAACTGCTGATAAAGTGAATTAGGTGGATGTTTTACTTCTGTTTATCCTGCAATGGGTATTTCATATTTTGAGTTCATTTTAATTCAGATGTTTAAAGCAGTATGGTGATTTTTTTCTTAATACAAATTTATTTTAGAAGTATTCAAGACTGCTTTAATAAAAAACAAGAGAAACTTAATGAGTTAATATTCAGAATCATTTTGACCCAGATTAAAAGCTCTTTTTTCTTTTTTTTTTAACCATAAACAAAAAAAATTAAATTGTGCTTGCATTTTTAAACAAAACTTGGACTTCAGTCAATAGACACCAAAATGTTACACGTCAGTCCACAAGCTGGTTTAAATGCTTCTCCATTAAAATATTTCAGCAGTCTAATTTAAAGCAGATTTCTGGACAGACAAAAAGAATTTACCAGCCTGATCATTAAAGACCACATACTTCTTATAATAGCCAGTTTTATTATCTGCAGTTCATGAAAAAAGGCACACTTCCTAAAACCATCAAATGCATTTGACATTTGCAGTCCTAAGGAGTTGCTATTTTTCCTTTTTAAAGAACAGTGAAGGAAGGAAGCCCAGAGGAGGGAGATGTCCAGCAAAAGAGTTGGCCTCAACCACATCCTGCAGCTCTAAATCCAAGGAGAGCAGATCGTGCCAGCAGCTGCGAGTAGGGAGATGCAGCTGCCAAGAACTTTCAACCTCTGACCCAGTTCGAGCTAGAGCATCTTGCCCAAAGCATGCTGATGGCAGCACAGCTGCAGGGGACTCTGCCATCTCCCCAGCCAGGCAAGCCCTGCAGGCTGCTTTTTGACACAAATATTTTTCTTCTTCTTCTACATATGCTAAAAAATTTGCAAAGAAATTATTTACAGTAATATTCATTAGATAGTCTCTAAAGGCAGAGCTGGCTAATGTTGCTGTCTGAAAAATGTCTAAAACAGCATCCCAAATTAAGTTTCCAGATTTTCATGGAAGTTATTCAAGAATCAGTACCTAATTTCTCCACAGGGGCATCTATAGCAATGTCTAGTTGATAGACAGTGACTGGGAGCCACAAGCATTCATTTAAATCTAATTATCAATTTACTACATCATCCTTACCAAAACAAAGATAACAAAGGAGGCTTCTATCAGCCAGGATGGAAACAGGGCATACAAGCTCTACCACCCTTTTGACTATAAATCTACAATGATGCTTTTATTTTTTCTTGTTTTACTTACAGGAAAGTACTTTAGGCTTTGCAATATTGCCATAAACCTTCGATAGAAGTATCACCCTTACCCAAAAGACTTCCTTGTCCTATTAGTTACAGAGTTTTCCTGTCATGAGTTAATTCTTCCTGGAAAAGGGCTTCTTAAGATCTCATTTTTCATCTGAAAGACGCTGACTCATTATTGAGTTCTCTCAACCAAGGGTTTATTCGCACCCTCCCAAAGCTGGCCACTGGCATCAGTAAAGTCACAGAACTTTGTGTTCAGCCATGCAGAATGCCATAGCTGTTCAGGAATGGCAAGATTTATTGCTAGTAATAGACTACCATAAACTCCCTCACAGGCAACTGGCCTACAGCTTAAGCCCATTCTGCCTTCATAGTTTTACACCTAGAAGCTCATTTTACAATAGCTGGTAAACAGCAAGTAGCCATTGTTCTGACCACAGATGGCTAGAAAAATTGGGAAAAAATGCAGGTTTTGTATTCCAGATCAAACTTGATCCCTTGACTTCATTTTAGAAAGTCAATGTGAAAGTTTGTAGAGTTCAATATAAAGTATTCTATCAGGTTCAGAGAATTACTTGTGAACAGAACATATTAAGCTTTAGTCATATTTCTGTCAAATTCTTAAAGGGCTCAAAACTGTATTCTTGCCTTTATTCTTCTCACTCCTTTCCTGTAAGGGTGAGAAATTTAGTCTAGGAACTTCAATCAGCCATTCAAAAGTGAAGATACTATTTTCCACTGATTTTCAATAAGCAGGTGCGGCTATAGTCATTCTAACTCACTGCCAGTTTAGCAAATTTGAACATTTTTGAGAAAAGAAACCAAATAGCTTTTCTTCAAAGGCATAGGCACAAGCAGGTATATATTGTAAATTTTAAACACACATACAAGACATCTGACATGTTAAATATGGAGCCATCAGGGTTACCTCTCAGTTTAAGAATCAAGTTTTCTCAGGTATAGTAGATTTAACTCTGTGCAGAATATGCTGCCAATCTGGATCCCCCTTTGATAACTGTATATCCTGTATATCTTAGCTCATGATGCTTTATCTAAATTAAAAGCTAAAAGTATTAGCTATTACTGACATTTTATTCAAGACTATATAAATCCAATAGTAACCCTAATCTGGCAACCACAACAACACAAACCACATGACTAGTGACTAGGACCAACTCAATCATGTTTAAAAACAATACATTTTTTTAATATATTTGCTTTTTTGCCACTTTGAAGTAGTTAAAAAAATTGGAACACTACAGTTTAAAAGAAAAGCAGTCACTGAGGGACAACAGGATAAGAAAGTAAGAATATTTCTGCAGATTATGACTTGGTCTCCAGAACAAACATCTTCATTACTAGAAAATTGGAAGCAGATGACTGGTAGCATTGTGCATATTCTCATTTCTCAGGACAGAAGACACATCTGGATTTTTACCACAGTATTTTCATAGCACAAGGCCAACAGCATTAATCTGCAAGTAAACTAAGAAAGAACACTTGCCCTCTCCCACCCAAAAAGTGAAAGCATTTAAATACGGAAAATTGTATTTGAAAATGTTGAAAAAGCACCCAGTTTACTTCAGAGTAAATAGCACTTGCTGCAATCACATCACTTTTCTACAACATTGCATTGTGTGACCAGTCCCATTACAAGTTCTTCAAAAGAACCTCTCGTTTTTCACTTTAGTTGCTCCCAAAAGGCCCTCTTCAAGACGAAGCTCTTTCTAGAAGATG